CATCTGTATACCTTTAACATGATTCATTAGTTGTTAAAATTTTGCCATGTTTGCTTCATCTCTTCATCTATCTCTCTGTATGAACATGCATGCACAGATGCTTTGTTGCTGCTGCTGCTGTCGAATTTTTTGAAGGTTGTAAATATTATGCTTCGTCAGCTTTTTGATTGTGTATAAGGCTATACAACTTTCATTTCTGTAGCACTTTGTTCATCCCTGTTTCTGTTTGTAAACTATAAAAATTCTAAGTATAATGCATTAGTCATACATTGCTTACACGTGGCAGACTGAGTAATGCCCCCTAAAGATTTCCATGTCCTAATCTCTGGAATCTGTGAATTCGTTACATTAAATGGCAGAGGGGACTTTACAGATGTGATTAAGAAATTTAAAATGAAATGATCCAGTATTATCTGGGTGGGCCCAGTGTACTCACAAGGATCTTCCTAGGAGGGAGGCTCATGCCTGAGTTGCAGGTTTGGTCCCCCATTGGGGTGTGAACGGGAGGCAACCTTTTGATGTTTCTCTCTCCTTCTCCCTTCCTCTCTTTCTCTAAAATTAATAAATATAAATATAAATATAGGGGTAAATAAAGATATACCATGATAGCACTAATAAAAAATTGCTAAGTGAAAAAAGCCAATTTGAAAAGGCTGCATACTGTATGATTCCAACTGTATGACATTATAAAAAAGGCAAAACTATGGAGACAGTAAAAAAGTTGAGACCAGGGGAGATGAACAGGTGGTGGTACACAGGAGAGATTTATGCCAGTGGAACTATTCTGTATTCTACTGTCATGGTGAGTACACAGAAAGTACAGCACAAATAGCGAACACTAGTGCAAACTAAAGACTTTTATTAATTGCAGCATATTAATACTGATTCATTAACTGTAGCATATGTACTACAGTAATGCAATTAATAATATGGGAAACTGTAGAAGAGAGAGAGGAAGTATATGGGGACTCTGTACTTTCTGCTCAATTTTTTCGTAAACCTAAAACTGCTCTAAAAATATTCTATTAATGTAAAACTGTATGAGGCAATTATTAACCCCAGCTAAAATACACACAAGTTGTGTAAAAGAAGTAAATGTGTGATATTTATACTTTCACTTTATATAAATATTTATATTGTAATAATAATGAAAATGTACAGAATGTGTTTTTAACAAAAAAGTGTTGTGTACTTTCTTTTAATGCTCACCCAAAAATATGCTTATTGATTTTAGAGGGGGCGGGGAGAGAGAGAGAAACATTGGTGTGAGAGGGAAACATCAATCAGTTGCCTCCCATACTCACCCCAACCAGCAATACAACTTGGATCTGGGTATGTGCCCTGACTGGGACTCGAACCCACATTTCAGTGTACAGGACAATGCTCCAACCAACGGAGCCACACCGGTCAGGGCTATTGTATAATTTTTGAGAAGCTAGAGGAAAGGAAGTGATTCAGACCTGATATCCTCATCCTATTAATAAAAAGCTAATATGCAAATTGTCCCCTCTACCAGGAGTTTTACCAGGCGGCGGGGCTGGCTAGCCAACCTCCCGTGGCCCCTCCCCCCAGCTGGCCCAGCCCGTACCCCACCCATGCACGAATTCGTGCACCAGGCCTCTAGTCTATTATAATAGGAAGTCTGTGTAACAGAAGTGAACATCCATGCTCCAGTCTGAAGATGTTTCCCCCATGTATCCCCAAGCCCATTTCACCATGTCTTCTGCATCATCAGATTTTGCTCTCCAGTAGGATCTTTCCCATCAATAAACAAATATGCCCTTAGTGGGTTTTTTTTTTTTTTAGCTTAATATGCACACATGCACACACAGAATTCCGTTTCTTTGCTGCCCTTTACATCAAAACTCAGCCTGGCCAGCTTGGCTCAGCAGTTGAGTGTCGACCTATGAACCAGGAAATCACGGTTCGATTCCCGATCAGGGCACATGCCCAGGCTATGGGCTCAATCCCCAGTATGGGGTTTGCAGGAGGCAACCAATCAGTGATTCTCTCTTATCACTGATGTTTCTATCCCTCTCTCCCTCTCCTTTCCTCTCTGAAATCAATAAAAATAAAAAAGAGTAAGACTTGAGGGAAAAATTCTTAGTGTTCTCCTTTAAAAAAAACACGCTCAAGTTTTCTTTACTCCCTGTCTCCAATTCCTTCTCCTTTATTCTGTCATACATTCAGAATTTCATAACTACCAGGCTACTTAATTTACATCGTCAAGGTCACACTGACCTTCATGTTATTAAATCCAGTGGTCATTTTTTTTTACCTCCCAGTATCTTTTGATACAATTGATTACTCCCTCCTTTTTTTTATGAGTTTATTTATTATTTTTTTTATTGATTTCAGAAAGAAAAGGAGAGTGAGAGTGAGATAGAAACATTAATGATGAGAGGGAATCATTGATCGGCTGCCTCCTGCACAGCCCCTACTGGGGATCGAGCCCGCAACCCCAGGCATGTGCCCTTGACCAGAATCGAACCTGGGACTCTTCAGTCCACAGGCCAGTGCTCTATCCAGTGAGCCAAACCAGCTAAGGCGATTACTCCCTCCTTGATATGTTTCTTTCACTTGGCTTCTAGGACATGACTTAAAATATATTTTTTTTCCTATGTCATTGATATCTTCTTAGTCGTCTTTGTTGGTTCTTCTTCTCCCTGACTTTTAAATGTTAGAATGTCCCAATATCTCAGTCTTAAGTCCTCTGCTCTTCTCTATCTACCATGAGCCCCCCTGGGTTACCTCATCAGGTATTGAGGCTTCACCTAGCATCTCTAAGTTAATGCTTCTCAAATTTATATATTCCAGCTCAGACCTCTTCCATGAACTCCAGAATTGTATATCCAACTGACTACTTGATATTTTCATTCATTGGCTAATAGACATCTCAAACTTAACGTATCCAAAACTGAACTAATGATCTTCCAAAAATCTACTAAACACAGAATCTTTCCTAACTGAGTTGATGGCAGCTGCATATTTCCAATTGGTAGTTGCTTAGGCCAAAAACCTTGGAGTCATCCTTGACTCTCCTCTGCTCTGTCACATCCCGTATCCAGTCTGTTAGGAAGTCTACATGTAATTAGAAAAACAAATCCACAAACCTACCACGCCTCACCACCTCCACTGCCACCCTCCTTGCCATCCTTTCTCGTCTGGATTATTGCTGTAGCCTCCATACTCCAGTCTAAGGTAAACAGAGCAACGGAAGTCTGAGGATGGTGCTTTGTAACTTCCCATTTCCCTGCACTGGACAAATTACTTAACTTCTCTGTGCCTTTCTCTCTAAAAAGATAATACCTCCCTCCAGAGATTGTGGAGTTCCACAAGATAGTACATATGAAGCCCTTACTTAACACTAACCTGGTGCAGAGAAAGTAGTAAAGTTTAGCTGCTGTTCTTTTCATTTTTATTTCCAGTGCACCCTCCAAATCAAATGCCTACTTTTGTCTTCCTGTCACTTCTTCAGTGCTTGAGGTGGGCGGAGGCTCTGTAGAGAGGTGTGGATTCTGAGTACCTAACTCATCGCTGTCAGACAAAATCCTCAGTCCTTAGTGCCAGGGAGTAGTATGTCCAGAACACTGTTTCTTGTCGCCAAAGGAAATTCTATTCCTAACTTTGCTGTTTTTGTAAGCAATGCAGGACTTGGTTTCTTGACTAAATAGGAATTGCTTTGTCAGTAGAAAGTGTTCTTTTTGTCAGTACCAAAACTTAACTGTCTTAATTATATATCTATACTAGAGGCCCGATGCACAAAATAGTGCAAGGGGCTCAGCCCTCGCAGCCCCGGCTTCGTCCAGAAGGTCATTCGGCTGTCCGGTCTAATTAGCATATTACACTTTTATTATTATAGATAATATAGCTTAATTATAGCTGTATAATAATGTCTTAATATCTGGTAGAATAAGCCCCTCCCATTTTGTTCTTTTTTTTAAGATTACCTTGAGTAGTTTTGGTCTTATGCATTTCCATATAACTTCTGTAATCAGCTTCAAATTACCCCTTCCCCAGTCCCAGAAAATAGTATGTCTCTCTATTTATTTGGTCTTGTCTTATACATCTTTTATTAGATTTATTCTCAGGTATTTGGTGTGGGGTTTTTTAATATTAGTGTAAATGGTATTATTTTTAAAAAGTATTTCCTAATCACTGGCATTAGAAACATAATTTTACATATAGAAAAGAGTAAATTTTTAGTTATAAGATTGCCCTGGTCGGGTGGTTTAGCTGGTTGGAGCATCGTCCCATGCACCAAAAGGGTCACAGGTTCAATGCCCAGTTAGAGCACATACCTGGGTTGTGGGTTCAATCCCCGGTCAGGGCATGTATGGAAGGCAACTGATTGATGCCTCTCTCTCACACTGATGTCTCTCTCTCCCTTCCTCTCTCTCTAAAAATCAATAAGCATTATCCTTAGGTGAGGATTAAAATCAATCAATCAATCAGTCACATCGTAATGCTGTGTGACTAGTTTGGGATTTAAAAAATAATAATTATCATAAGATTTTATGAGCTTAAAAGTATTTATCATTTTAAGAATCATCTAATATTTAAATTATTATGGGAATCTTGGGTACATTAAGAAAGGTTGGATTAAATTCAGGGTTTTAAGGTTGGAGAGTTCAAAAGGAAGTCAGGTGGAGCCTATTCCTAGATTGTGGGAATTCTGTGTTGGTTGCTTGAGAGAGAAGCGCTGGGGCTTGTTTCTCTTTCAGCTAAAATGATTAGAACTTGGGATGTTGGGATGTTGTTTTTTCTTCTTCCGATACGCTGAGCCCTCTCCCAGCCAGCTCACTTTTGGAAGCACTGGGGTAAATGTGGAGCAGGTGGGATCAGAGTGAATGCGTTTCACTCACTTCTTCAACCCTGGCTGCTCTTGAACTGGCAGGCTTCCCTCCAATTTTAAAACTCACCAAGACTGAAGCAGTAAGCCCACCCACCATCAGGTACTGAAGTGATGATGACAGTATCTGTTTGCTTTCTTTTTCCAGGTCTATAAAGGAGAATTTCAGCTACCTGAATTTCTTAAAGAAAAACCTCAGGTACTGTATCTGTTTTCCCTCTTGATGTATATAGATGGGCTCTTGCATTGAAGTGATCTTTTTAAAGATAATATGTGCATGTAGTAGAAAGATTGGCCTCTGGTAATTGTTGGTTTTAACAATAATTTAATGCAGTCTTAATTTCAGAGAGCTCACTATCCTCCAAAACTAGGGAAATACTTTATTAGTAACTGAAATCCTATTGCTTGAGGTCTTCTAGTCCACACAGTGTTCCACATATAAGGGGCCTGCCTTGTGTATCTGCTCCAGGCCCATTATGAAAACAGTCACAGGGATGTAAAGTACAGCATAAGGAATTTAGTCAATATTTTTATTAACTATATAGGGTGTCAGATGGATACTTAGACTTATTGGGGTGATCACTTTGTAAATTATGTAAATTATATAAATGCCTAATCACTATGTTGTACACCTGATACTAATATAATATTGTATATCAACTATAGTTGAAAACATTTAAACATTTTTAAATCTTCTCAAGGATCTCCTGATCTATCCAAAAAACTCTGATAGACTTTTGCATACAAGGGGTTGCAAGCCCTGAGCCTTGGCGGGGCATGAATTCCCAGAAACCTGGGTGAATTCATGAACAAGCTGTCACTCATTCACAGGCTATGGCATTTGGAGCCAGAGAATAATCCAAGATTCAGAGTCTTGAAGGAATGTCAAATTTTAAGGCTCTTTTGCATAATAAGTCTGAAGGAGTCAAGAAAGGGTATTTAAGACTAAAACTAAAGGGACACCCCTGGTTCGCAGCATACACAAAAATCATTTCTAGGTGGGTTATAGACCTAAATGTGAAAGGCAAAATAATAAAGTTTTTAAGAGACAAGAGAGGAGAATATTAAGACCTCAAGAGGGGAGGATTTAAAAAAACTGTGGTACATCTACACAATGGAATACTACACTGCTGTAAAAAAGAAGGAAATCTTACCATTTGCAACAGCATGGATGGAACTGGAGAGCATTATGCTAAGCGAAATAAGCCAGTGGGAGAAAAATAAATATCACATGATCTCAGTCATTTGTGGAATATAATGAACAATGTAAACTGATGAACAAAAACAGATCCAGAGACAGAGAAGCATCGATCAGACTGTCAAACCTCAGAGGAAAGGTAGGGGAGGGTGGGGGTAAAGGGGAGAGATCAACCAAAGGACTTACATGCATGCATATAAGCCTAACCAATGGACACAGACACGGGGGGGGGGAAGTGAGCCCCTATCCAGAGGTTGGGCTGGCTGAAAGCCCCAGCCCTCTAAATACAGGGTTGCTGTTTCTGGTGAGCAGCCCCCATTCTGAGTCATCTCATCTCTTAGGGTAAACTCAGGTGTAATCCAAGGGGCTCGTAAATACACTTCTGTTTCCCAGGAATTTCAAGGAGTTAGTCTCCCCATCAGGAACCAAGGACAAAGGCCAGTGAAATTATTTATGATGCTGAGTGGGGGGGGGGGGAACAATGGGGGAATAAGGACACATATGTAATACCTTAATCAATAAAGGAAAAAAAAGAGGGAAGGATTTCTTAAGTCATTGAAAATACTAATCATTAATTTTAAAATGGCTAAGTTGGACTACATTAAAATTGAGAATGTTTACTTATCAGAAAGCATCATAGAGGGAGTAAAAAAGTACGTGGGAGAAAATATTTGAAACAAATGACTTAACTGTGGAATATAGATAATTTCTACAAATCAATAAGAAAAATACTTTTAAAGGTATATCCAGCACTTCAATCCCCTTACTCGGGTAGTTTCATTTACTGCATCACACACATACTTAGAAAAGGGCCTATAAAAGACTTTTCTTAACTTCTGATAAATGGGAACACTGGAGCCCACTGAACCCTCACCCTTGAACTTAGCTAGAATGGCTCGCAGAACTCAGGGAGGCTTTATACTTGTGATTACACTTTTATATTTATAAAGGATACAATCAGGACCAGCCACATGAAGAGACACAGGACAGAGTCGGGGAGGGTCTCAAACACAGTTACTGCGCCTTGGAATCGGGGTACTTCCTCCCACACATCCGAGTGTTCGCCAACCAGGAAGCTCCACTGAACTCTGGCATCTTGGGTTCTAATCGCATAGGCATGATTGATTGGATCATTGGCCGTGTGACTGAGCTCAATCCCCAGTCAATGTCCCCTATCCAGAGGTTGGGCTGGCTGAAAGCCCCAGCCCCCTAAATACAGGGTTGCTGTTTCTGGTGAGCAGCCCCCATTCTGAGTCATCTCATCTCTTAGGGTAAACTCAGGTGTGATCCAAGGGGCTCGTAAATACACTTCTGTTTCGCAGGAATTTCAAGGAGTTAGTCTCCCCATCAGGAACCAGGGACAAAGGCCAGTGAATTATTTATGATACAGCAGCAGCAGACTGCGTTCAGTAGAAAGTCTACTCAGAGCCTGCAAGCTACACCTGGTATTTTGACCGGCGCTGTCATTACTCATGCCGACCAACTCTGAGGACTCTAAAACAGCTTTTGCTTTTTTTGACAGACTGAGCAGGGGGAGTAGCAGAGCCAGGAGCCTCTTACATCCTAAGGTGAGGTTGGGGGACATGGCTGGTCTTTGGGTTTCCCTGCTTAGGCTCTTGTAGGAGGGCAGGGTGGCCAGGGTGGAGAGAGAGCACAGCTCTGGAGTCGGTTGGCCTGGGCTGGAATCTTGGCTCTTTGTGACATTGAGCAAATTACTCAACTTCTCTGTTTCTTAGTTCCTCATCTGTAAAATGAGGACAATATTAACAAGAGAGTGGTAGTAAGAATTAACCATCATAATGTCTGCAAAAAGCCCGATACATAGTAAGCAAAATAACAGTGTTGTTATTTTCAACATGATAAATAATAAGATATTTTAGCTGAAAGAAACCTGGAGAACATCAACCTCAACCATCTGTTTGCTGGTAAGGCAACTGACCCTAGAGAGAGTAGGTGATTTGTCAAGGTCACATCCCAGGTCGGAGAACCCAGGGCTGAAGAACCCAGCGCTTCTCTCTCCACCCTGCTTTCTCTCTGTTCTGACATGCACATACTTTTGTACTAATATTTGGGAGGGCTAGTTGGTTTGTTTGTCAAGTCTGCCCTTGCTGATTTTAATGTATTATGAATCTCATGTTTGTAACTTGCATTGTCTCACGGTAGCCAAGGACTGCAGTTTGGGCTAGGCCAGCAGGCCTTATACGCCCCCTTTATATATGAGTAATCACCAGGGGCGTGTCCAGGGTCACCAGCCACTTAGTGGCAAAGCTGGATTCTGGACCCAGACCCCCTGGATGGAGCCACTCAGAGCTTATCCCCCTCTCCCACACTTGCTGAAGATCCTATTTTGCTCTGAATGATGTGGTGATGCCTTAGATCAGCGGTTCTCAACCTGTAGGTCTCGACCCTTTTGGAAGTCAAAAGACCCTTTCACAGGGGTCGCCTAAGACCATCCTTCATATCAAATATTTACATTACTATTCATAACAGTAGCAACATTACAGTTATGAAGTAGCAATGAAAATAATTTTTAAAAATATATATATATTTTATTGATTTTTTACAGAGAGGAAGGGAGAGGGATAGAGAGTTAGAAACATCGATCAGCTGCCTCCTGCACACCTCCTACTGGGGATGTGCCCGCAACCAAGGTACATGCCGTTGACCGGAATCCAACCTGGGACCTTTCAGTCTGCAGGCCGACGCTCTATCCACTGAGCCAAACCGGTTAGGGCGCAATGAAAATAATTTTATGGTTGGGTCACAACATGAGGAACTGTATTTAAAGGGCCAGAAGGTTGAGAACCACTGCCTTAGATCATTTGGAACTTGAAAAGCTTTTTGAAAATTTGATTTTTGCTTGCTGTTTTATTTTTATTTTATATAATAGCCATGTATTGAGTGCATACTCCATACCAAGCATAAAATGCTAAGCATTTTACATATAGTATATAAATGATATATATTATATGGTATCCTATATAATAAAAGCCTAATATGCTAAGTGTCCGACTGTTTGTTCCACCATTCAATCAGTCACTATGATGCACACAGACCACCAGGGGGCAGACGCTCTGACAGGTAGGTTAGCTTGCTGCTGGGGTCTGGCCGATCAAGACTGGGCAAGACAGGCTGGACACGCCCTGGACAAATCCATGCACCGGGCCTCTAGTATAATATATAATATGTGAAACAACATCTATGATAAATATAAGTATGTATTTGAATGAGTTCATTCAAGTGTCAAGGCATTCTGGCAAGTAGGTAGTATTATTCCTGTTGTACTGATGAGAAAATTGAGCTTGAATAATTTGAATAGGAGATTTGTATGACTTGCGGTGTGTTTGTGGATTATAGATAGTATAAGCACATGAATACTGCTATGCCATGTCAAAATCACGGATGGCAATGAGCCAGTAACATGAATAGGTTTTAGGATTTATGTTTGTCCTTTTGCTAAGGAGCAAATACTAAATGTTAGACTTATACTCTATGGGTATGCATATCCAACAGCTGTTATCAGGCCTTGGATAATTTTGTTTATCCAAAATACTTTCAAAAGTTATAAATCCCCTCCCCAACACACACACACACACACACACACACACACACACACACTCACCACATACGGCTTTATTTATTGACGGCTGTCTCACAAGACACATCCAGACAAACTTCTCTAGTAACAAAGTACAGACATGATCCCTGAAAGTATAGTGTTTGTTTTACAAGACATAATGCCATGTCAAGTTGACGCTAGCATTTCATTCTTGTTTGCCAATCGAGGCCTGTAAGTGCCCACATGCATTGAGGGAAGGACTCCGGAGAAGCTGGGAAGACAACAGAGCATCTCAGGACAGATACCAGTCTGTCTTCTTGTCTTTCGGATCCTTTGTCATTTGAATGACAGTTGCTGTGTTATCTAAACCTTCCTTAGCATCCACTTTCTCAAAAGAAGAGTCAGTTGGACCTCTGGACATTTGACGGCCCTACCAGTGCCCCCGCAGTAGCTTCAGTTGCTATGCCAGTTGCAGTCATTTAGAAATAGGCAGGAGCGGCCCTTGTTTTGCCTGCCATCTGCCTGTTTTGCACATTGGAGCTCCTGCCAGGCATCTCCATGCATCCCAGATGGAGGGAGAGCATGCCTCTCCCGTGGTCCTCAGGTTAACTGTTCTCGGAATTGTTGATTCTCCTGCCCATCTACCTGGCTCATGTCAGGCCCACAACTGGGAAGGAGGCCATGTGGTGCAGGGGAAGAAGGAACTGAGACTCAACACCTGTAACCGAATTCCTTTTGTTTCCTCTAGGGAAGACTGATGCCTTTTCATCTAGAACTGGCTGTCACCTGCTGAGATCCATGGAGTGTACGTACCATGGCCCGCATCTCCTGTTCATTTGTCAGACTCCTCCCACTGAGAGGGTGGGATGAAGAACACATTTGGGCCTTCCTGAGTGATCTGTGCCCTGAGCACAGCGCTCTTGATTCTATTGCATGCACAACCCAGCGGATTAGGAGCCCCGAAGGGACGTGCGCTTTCTGTTAAAACTGCTCTGGTCCTTATCTTTTCTTACCATATTCAAACTTTGTTTTAAAGGGGAGGGTTTAAAATTGGCATTCTGTAAGTAAAATTGGTCAGTTTCTCTTGGTTTTGTAGAATACTCGTACCTGTTTATTGATGTGGATAATACTAAATATCTTAATTATTTAAATTGTATTGTTTCTGAGAAGTTGAGGGATTCCTGTATACATTTACAATGTAATGACTTTTGTATTTTATTTTTCAAAATAAAAGCTTTAAGTGTGAAGCATCCTGGCAGTTTACATATTTTCATTACAAGATCTTTGATTCAATTTAAAGTGAATACTTCTGCCAGGCCAATTCATTGTTCAGCACCTTCAAAATATTTCTTGAATCCATCCCTTTCCCTTCAACTCCACTGCCCCACCCTCATCTATCACCATCTATCACCTAGGCTATTGCAGTGTACAGCCTCCTAACCAACACCCTATCCCTCCTCTTGCCCCCTCAAATTCTATTCAGCACAAGGCAGAGTAAGAGTTTTAAAATGCACATCTGGCCCTAGGTGGTTTGGCTCAATGGATAGAGCCTTGGCCTGCAGCCCAAAGGGACCCGGGTTCGATTCCAGTCAGGGGCGCATACCTTGGTTGCAGGCTGCTACTTGGCCTAGGCTCCTGGTTGGGGCGCGTGCAGGAGGTAACGAATCGATATGTTTCTCTCACACTGATGTTTCTCTGTCTTTCCCTCTCTCTTCCACTCTCCGTAAAAATCAATGGGAAAATATCCTCTGGTGAAGATTAACAAAAATAAAATAAAGTGAAGTAAAATAAAATAAAATGCACATCTGGGTATGACCCTCCCACTTACATTTCATTTAGAATAGAATCCAGACTCCTGCCGAGATCCAGCTGCTGCCCTCCTCCCCATCGAGTTGCAGGCCAATCTCTTCCACCTTGCCTTTGTGCTCCAGCATTCTCTGCCCCCTTTGATTTAAAATAAATACTGCCACCAGGTCAATTCTTTGTTCAGCACTACCTCCTGTCATTCCTTTGTTCAAAAGCCTTCTTTGATTCTCTAATGCTAACACGTTACATCTAAACTATTCTGCCTCCACAATATAGCCTCACTACTCCCTGGGTACAGTATACTTCCTCCCTGTCTCCTCACATACCCTTCATTTTCTGCTTCTTCCAGATGCCTATCAGCCACTCCTCACCCCTCTACCTGGGAAATGCCAGCCTCATTGAGGACTCAGCTGGCTTCAGACCCATTTCTTCCTATTCAACTGCTCCAACCACCAAATAGCAATAAAAATCAGCATTAGCTAAAAAAAAAAAAAATCAGCATTAGCTTAACTCCTTTTGCTTATTTCCTGTGTTAGTCTTATGTCACCGACTTTGTAGGGGAGAAGTCACATATTCCTATAGAGCCTATCAGAATGGGAGGGAAGGACATACTCAACTAACCCAGCCTGACTCCAATACTTGCCTCTAAGGGACATATGCTTTTTATTCCCACACCTGTCCACTTTGCACGGGTGGGAGTATATTGGAACAGGAAGAGGACAGAGAACCACTGCACAGAATGGTTGATTCGGGAAAAGGACACCACTATACAGCTAGCCTGGAGAAGCACACGCTGTGGTATCTCCATCCTTATTGGCATTCCTTCTCTCACAAAGCTTTATTTCCTTTAAGCCCTGTGAAGAAAAGCGTCTGTGCCACATGACATCTTCGACCACCTTCCTGAAGTTGCCTGTATTTGTGAAATGTGATTTGATGGAATCAATTTGAACTCCGGTTGAACAAATGCAAGATGGCTGGAGTAAAATTTTAAAAGGAGGTAACCGGGTGAAGGATCAGGGTGGACGTGTGACCTGTGACTGTGGGAGGGCTTCCTGGAGCCACCATAGCCATGGCCACAGCCAGCAGTGAACCCGGGGAGCCAGGGAGAAGCCGGTGTCCTTAGTGGCCATGGCAGAAGCTTGGAGAGAGCATCAGCCAGTGGGAATCATAGACTTTTAAAATGAGGGGGGAATCTTAGTAACCAGTCAAGTAACCATTCTGGTAACATTTATCAAGAGCGTCTCATGGTGCAGGCCCTGTGATAACCTCTGTACATGTTTAAACTCATTTAATTCTCATAATTACCATCTGAGATAATTTTATAAACACTGGCTCAGGGAGGTGAAGCGCCTAGTGCAGCTAGTAAGTGACAGAGTCAGGAAACAAATACTAGCAACCTGGTTCCAGGGCCTACGCCCTTAACCACTACCTCTCAATCATCATCTGTATTTACACTCGAAAAGAAAATTGTCACGAGCATCGAGTGACAACTGTTTAAGTACCTCCCTTGTACTTAGTAACCTGGTAGGTGTAATTAAGAGTGGGTGTGCCAAATAGTGTAGGCAGATCACTGCGCTTGGGAATTTATGGTCTTGGTGAAAATCAAGAAAAATGCACATGAAACAATTATTTCAAGCTCCAACAAGGCCTATAAAGCCTGGCTGGTAGGTGATAGACACGTAATGGTCTAGGCAAGACTCCATTTAGTGTTACCCCCAAGTCTGCATTTCCAGGGAGCTACGGATTCTGGGCTTTTCTCCGGCAAGGTCAGTGCTTTCACATTGAGTTCCCTTTGTCACCACTCAACACAGTCCTCTGCAGGCACTTTAGGCCTTTGCATAAAGCACTTCCTTAGTTATTCTGAATTGGGCAAAAGAGATCATTTTTATTCACTTTGGGTTTAAGTCCTAACAAAGCAATTCATTGAGGTGTGTCTGTGTGTGTGTGTGTGTGTGTGGTCTTGTTAGACATGAAAATAAATGACTTTGACTCTCCCTTTGGGGTTTATTGATTATTACTGAAGATCCAAAAGATCCAAAATTGAATCATTTTTCACAATAAAACCACTATTTTTGTTATATGCTGTAGAAATGGCTTTATGGCCTTACCCTAGAAGGCAAGCCTAAAATGCCCTCTATTGGTCTAACATGGAATGACTGTTAACCATATGAAAAAGTTTAACGTTGAAAGCAATAAGGGGAAATATACCACAGGGTATGCAAAACTTTCTCTGCAAAGGTGTCTATTGCAATGTAGTTTATAGGAGCAAAAAATTAGAAACAACCTAATGAAGGGGGAATTGGTTAAATGAATTATGGTACATTCACAGAATAGAATATTCTTCAGCTCATAAATATGAAATTGAAAAAAATAATATCAAAAATATTTGTTACAGTAAATAAAAACCTGAGCTCACAGAGCTGTTTATTATGATTCCATTTTTATTTAAAGAGTAGGTTAAAAAAGTAAGTAGGCTATCTAAATTGATAGACAACAGAAAGGACATATGCCACAATGTTAGCAGTGTTATCTCTTCCTGGTGGAGTTGTGGGGATTCTTGTTTTCTTCTTTCTGCTTATTTTCTAGACCTGCTACAATAAATGTGAATTACTTCTGCAAATAAAAAGTAGAAAACAATGAGAGTTTTTGTTTAAAAAAATAAATCAAAAGATTGAATCCTCCTAATCGTATAACTTAAAAACACTCACAAACTGGGGGCTAGAACAATGCTGTGACTTATTCACAGCTACATATCTAGTTAACATTGACTTTCAGTTCACTTATTTTATGATAAGTCTCATTATTTTAGCCAATTATTTTTATTTAAAAATTAGTACTGTTAATAATCTGAAGCCCTTGCCGGGTTCCAAGATACTCAGTTGTTTAGAGCATCGTCCTGATACACCGAGGTTGCGGGTTCGATCCCCAGTCAGGACACATACAAGAAGCAACCAATGAGCTCTAAAATCAATATAAAAAATAACCAGAAGACTTGACTATTAGTTGTTCTTCAGAAATGAGTAACTTGGACTTGAACCGGAAATGAAGCAGGGTATCAGCGTTGAGGACATTTAGTGGAGCACATATGAAATGATCACAATGAGGGTAGCATTGATTTATTTCTTATACAGGTCTAGGCAAACTACAACCGGTGAAATGACTCTGGCCACACCTATCATTTATAGACATGGCTTGCCATGGCTGCTTTCCCTCAACAGCAGCAAAATTGAGTAGAGACCAATGAATGGCCCGCTAAGCTGAAAATACTTACCATCTGGACCTTTGCAGAAAAGTTTGCTCCTGCCTCAGGATAGAGAATGTTTCAGCACACCTTAATGCTGCTCACCAACCAGAAGGACTTTCAACGGGCAATTCTAAACAAATGTCAGAATTAGGAAGCCCCTAAAAGGCAAGTTGTTTTTCCCAGATACCCTTTTACTGCCTCAGAGAAGGAGGCCCCTCTCAGCCTCAAATCCAAGGCAATTTCTAAGTGGTGGGGGGTGCCTGTGGGGATAAGGGCTGAGGAATGGTGAAGAGGCCCCCAGAGATGGGAACATTAGAAGACAGCCTGCAGGGGATTATATTCTCAGCTAACGTCTTCCTCCACTTGTTGGAACCCCATTGAGGTGATAGATATTGTAGCAGTGAGGTGCTTAAACCTGAGCTGAGAGATCAGTGGAAATGCTATACAAACTGGGCATGAAGTGGGAGGGAGAATTGGGGATGTTGCTCCAAGATACTCACCCGCCCACCAGTGGGATTTGACTATAATGCTTCCCGAGGTGACTGGAGACATAGGGATGAGAAATGAATAGGCAATAGTAGGCAACACAACTATAGACCTTCAAACCAGACTCATAAAACACTGTTTTCATGGAATTCTAGATGTGTTATTTTTGCATCTGTATTTTGTTATTTGTTTTATTTAATTAAATAGTAAATGAAAATATAAAACAACACCCACCAAAAGCCTACATGTGAAGAACTTGGGATGAGAGCACTTTGAGGCCCATATCTTCTTCCTCAGTAAAGGTAGCCATGGTTAACAGTGTGCCCCCCAAACCAAAGAGCCCTCCCTTCATGTTCTGCTCTGAATAAGACCCCTAGGACCTCTTACAACTTGAGGGAAGCTAGTCCCCACAGCCCAGGGGTGACAGCATCCTGAAATTCTCTACCTTTAAGATATTAATAACAGCAATCAATGCCCCTATCCTATATAATAAAAGGGTAATATGCAAATTGACCCTAACAGCAGAATGACTGGGAATGACTGGTCACTATGACACACACTGACCACCAGGGGGCAGACGCTCAATGCAGGAGCTGCCCCCTGGTGGTCAGTGCGCTCCGACAGGGGGAGCTCTGCTCAGCCACAAGCCAGGCTGATGGCTGCCAGCACAATGGTG